GGTGTATGGATTCAGGACAGTGTGGTGGACATCCATAACCCTGAGTTTGATCTCCCCAAGATCCTGCACAGGCTGGTAATCACTTGAGTTTGGATTTTTAATGGGGGGCAGAGGAGTATTCCAGGCTGAGTGGCAAGGAACCAGAATTCCTAGTTCCATGAAGTGCCTGATGTGAGGGGTGATTCCCTCCCTCCTTCACCTCCTGGGACATGGGATGTTGCCGCACCTGGGTGGGGAAGGCATTGGTCTTCAGCTCAGTTAGTATTGGGGCTCAATGTTTTGCCAAGCCCATCCCTGCCCCCCAGTCTCTGTGAATGCCTCTGGATAATTGACTAGCCATGTGGTCATGTCCTCAGGGGCAGGTGGCATATCCTGATGTAATCTATATTTGTCCTCAAGCTGAAGGGTGAGAATTTCAGTTGTCTGTTCCTTCTGATTTCTAATTGAGACTCCATTCTTATTGAAAGTGATTGGAGCCTCAACTTTAGTAAGTCTCTTCTTGAAAAGAGACAAGGGCACTTAGGTATGACCAGAAATGAGTGGGATACCCAGCCCATTCTGAGATCCACTGTTACTGAGGTAGTCCATGAATATTGTCTCATACCTGTGGCTCCCTGGACTGCAGACTTTTCCTGATAAAGGTTTCCTTGGGGTTTGATTAAGATCGAATGTTGAGCTCCAGTATCTACTATGGAATCTGTAAGTTTACCATCCACTCTGAGTGTTACCCTGGGCTCAGGGAGGGGATCCAAACTGAGACTCCCCTTATCACTGAAGTTACCTGATTCTGCAACCAGTACATGCCCCGGATCATAATCCTTGCACTTGGAGTTTTTAGGGCATTCTTTAGCCCAGTGTCCCACTTCATTGAAAAGCGCACTGGTCTTTTGGCACCCTGTGATACTCCCTTCAGTGGGGGTCATTTTCTTGGCTTCTGGTGAGGCATCTCAATTGGCACCTTCCTTTCACCTGGATCTCCTGCATGCAGTGACTGCTAGGAGGATTCTCACCATATTTTGAGTCTGCTTTGAATTCTCTGCCGCCATGACCCTCATCTGTATCTCTTTTGGGGTTTCTCAGTTGTTGTACGCTTTCTAAGCTACAGGTCACAGCTCCTGGATACTCTTTTCTGCAAGCCCATCTATCTTTTGTAACTTGTGTCTAATGTCAGGTGTGGCCTGATTAACAAAGGCCATGACCATGGATGATCGATTTTCCTGGGCCTCAGTATCCATAAGTGAGTCTGCCCTAAAGGCCTCCACAATCCGATCTAAGAAGGCTGATAGAGACTGTCTTTTCCCATTGTACACTACTGACTTTGCCCAAATTGGTGGGCCAATGCTTGGCTACACATAGCCCCCTCATTAGAACCTGGCGGTAGACCCGGAGCCTCTCCTTACTTTTCCTTACCGTGTGTTAAGTTGAAATTCCAATTAGGACGGGCCTGAGGGAATCCTTGGGTCTATTAAGGCAGGGTTGACAGTCGGTTTTCCATCAGGTCCCAGAACCAATTTCTGGGCTTCTGTCAGAATTCTTTTCTTATATGGTAAACAGAATCTGTAAAAGCTGTTGACAGGACAGTCTTTCCAAGTGGGCTGGTGAGTAACTATAACCGAATTTTGGAGGTTAATATGAGCCCATAGATTGTCTGAAAAACTCGAGTTTTTGTTTTGTTTTTGTTTTTTGTTTTTTTTTAATAAACATCAGTCATGGTGAAAGGCCAATACTGCATCCATTCATTGCCCTCATCATCCAATGGGCCTACCACTCTCAAGGGGAGAGTGACAGAAGCACCTGGAGTAATTCTCATTGGGCTCATCCCCTGGTAAATGGTGGGCTCCCAGCATTCCTTGCATCCAACTGGGCTGCACTGGCCACCTGATCACTTGGGAGAGGTGGCCTGTAAGGGGTCGGGGAGAGTTAATCCTCTGTACCCCCTTGCAACACAGGGGCAAAAAGTGCTTAAGTTCCTCTCACCCTTTGTCTTCCTTTAAGGCGAGGTCAGTTTTGTTCATCCGTCCGGTGGAGATGACAGGTTTTAACCAAGGGCGAGGATGTGCTACAACCTCCTCCCAGGTGACTGTGTTAGGAATTTGGTCTGGTGTTTGGGTTTGCCCTAACTCCAGTCTTCTGTCCTACAAATGATGTATGAGTCAAAGGTTCCCTCTATTGGCCACCCTGTTCCAAATGTCGGCCATTTGGTCTCACAAAAGATGGTAAGTTTACCTTTTTTAATAGTTTCCACTCTTTCTCTCTTTGTCCTATTTCTAAAGCCCTGAAAATGGTCCAGAATCAAGGTTCGGGAGTAGGAGTACTCTTAGTCTGTCCCATTACATCAGTCTCATAAGTCAGGAAGAGAACAAACAGAATTACAGCACACACAGGGCTGCAAACAATACAACCAGAACTCCTGGCTCCTGAAGACAAAACTGAGGTGCTGCCCCCTTCCAAATCAAATTCAAATTAATCAAGGATGTCAGTTCCCCAGCCTATGGCACTATTTGCAGGCGTTTACAAATTTTGGGCTTACTTACAAAAGGATATCCAAAGGAAAGTAAACACAAGTAAACACAGAAAACACAAAAGTAAACACATACCAGAGACACACAGAAAACGTACTAGGCAGCCTCAGGCTCTAAGGGCAGTGCTCCCTGTGGGCTTGGGAGATCCCAGATGAGCTCCCAAATGTTCTGGCCAGTTCATGGGGACCTCCAAAAGCCCACCACAGAGACCAAATCTTTTATGTAAAAGCAAAGAGACTTTATTTTCAAGTTACAAGCTTGGTTTTTCTGTCTAATGCAGTGGTGAGAGCAGAGAGTCCCGGAGCTCAGGCATGGTAGAATTTTTATCATAACTGAGGTTGGAGTGAGGGGATTTCCAGGTTTCAGGATCCTGATGGGCTGACATTTGTCTAGGGCTATCTTGCTAAGAAGAGGAAATGGGTGTGTGCTAGGGTCAAGGACTTCTGGCTATCATATCTGAAGGTTGGGATGTTTGGGATGTTAGGTACTTGCCCGTCCCTGGCCTATCTCGGGGTGGATTCCTTTGTGGTGTCATCTCAAGGCTTTCCTGGATCTGATTCTTGCCTGCTAGTAAGCCTCTTATAAAAGCTCTGTGGGGGCCTCTAGGCCTATCATAACAGTTGTGTGGTCAAGCTGTTTTGCATTCATATTTAACTTGTTTTCTGATTTTACAAGATGTCAGAGGCAAGCAATCACCTTGAGTGTCCAAAGAGACATTGAACATTTGAAATGGTAGATGGTTTTAAAGACTATGAGGATCATTGAAGTTTTGATCATGGCATGACCCTAAGCATATAGTGACCTGGGTCATAATGTATTCAACTGAGTGAAAATCATCTGACTTAGGATGATATGTTTGAATACTTGTCTCTCCTTGGTGGCTTTGTTTTGGGTGCTTGTGCAATGTTTAGTAGGAGGAGTTTCAGGATGAAGTTCCACATTGGCGAAGGGATTTGAGTTTCTTTAGCCCATTTCCTATGCAGCTGTACCCTCAACTCCAGCAACAACCCCCATGATGATCAAGCCACCAGACACACACCACAGCACAGTCACACAGACACCTTCCCAGCCAGCACAGATGGGCTCAAGCATAGGTACTGGTACAGCCCAATCACCTGAGCATTCCACAGCCCTTGTCTGGTGCTCATGTTCTTTGTGTCTACCTGTCATGACTTCACCAAGATTATAGGTAGTATCACTAAATCCCATATGATACAGTTGAAGCAATTACTATTCAGTGCTAAGCCATTGTGTAACCTGAGTTTTTTTTTTCAATCTTGGTGTTTATATTTGTTTTTTAAGATAAGATTTATCTGTGTAGCTCTGGCTATCCTGAAAGTAGTTCTGTAGACCAGGCTGGCCTAAACTCAGAGATCCAAATTATTCTGGCTGCTATGTCTTGTGAATAAATGTGGCCCATCATGCCTGGGTTTCTTTATACTATTATCTGATGAGCCTGTAATGTATGTTTTTGTACAAGTCAAGCTAATGTTGTTTTGCTGAACTTCAGCCAATCGTCAATTTTGAAATCTGGCAGAGTGTACTATTCCCTTTCCCAGGATGGCAGTAATCCTGACATTAAAACTACCTGAGCCTTCTGAGGCATTCTATTGCAGGTGTGTGACATTCTTCCTACCTACTGTAATTGTTTGGAATTCTTTTGAGTGAATATACATCTTTTGCCTTGTGTGCCTGCTCCTCAGATTGATCAAGATAGTTTCACAACCCCTGAAGTTGTAATGGCTAGTTGTAAGCCCTCATGTAAGTATTGGTAATTGAGCCCAACTGTCTGCAACAGCAGCAAGAGCTCTTAAATGCTGAGCCATTTCTACTGTCCTATGTTGTCTATTTTGATCAATATTTACATTGCTAACATTTTCATCTGCTCATTTGTAACTTTAAGCATGCATTCTCTTTTAGAAAAATCTTATTTTTTAAACCAGTTTAAACTGGTTTATGGAAGATGAAAACAGAACTAGAATGTATGCATAATTCTTTGTAGGAACTTTGATAAACACCTGTGAGTTCTTTCTACCTTTTTTGATCAATTTATTTTTATAGATGAGACAGGGTCTTGCTAATATTTAACTCGATCTATCCTGAAATTCACTGTATAGGCCAGGATGTCATGCAACTCAATTCAATTCACCTGCCTTTGCCTCATGACTGCTGCAATTAAAGGCATAAACCAATATACACAGCGTGCCCATCTTTTTTGTAGTTAATAATTGTTCATTCAATTTCTCTGTGTACTTTGATGTGTTTGCTTGCCTCTCTCTTTATGTCTCTTTATGATGACAGAGGTGAATTTCATTGTTCAGTTTTTGTTTTTTAAAATGAGTTGATGATTAGAACTTTCGTGTCATGGAATAACTGTGGGGAGCCCCCCAAATTATATGAATATATTGTCTAAGAAATGTACATTAGTATGTTCTCAGTATCACACTCTCTGTTGTACACATGTATGGGATATTTTAGACTTCAGTGACCTATGATGATGTGCATATCGACTTCACTTGGGAGGAGTGGACTCTGTTGGATCACTCCCAGAAGAATCTCTACAAAGATGTGATGCAAGAGACATACAGGAACCTCACTGCTATAGGTAAGACTGAATTTTCCATCACATTTTAAAATAATGGGAGAATGGTTCCTTAGCCATTGATATAGTTTCGTAATTTCAACTGAGAAAGAAGAAGAGTGAGGTGAATAAATCTGGCATGGTTCTAACTTTCACTGAAGATAGTAACCTAAATATTCCACAATTTCCCATAATATATCATACATTTACTGGTATTGTATTTTAGGCTACAGTTGGGAAGACCATAATATTGAAGAACATTGTCAATGTTCTGGAAGACATGGAAGGTAATTTTCATGTGCAAGCTGATATGAATGTACCTATGGAGAAATTTTAATGTGTCCTAGAAGTTTTAAATGAAAGCAAGAGTGTAAATGAGCACATTTTAAAGTGTACTGATGATTCTTAAATTCTCACAAAACCAGGGGGCTGGAGAGATGGCTCAGAGGTTAAGAGCACCGACTGCTCTTCCAGAGGTCCTGAGTTCAATTCCCAGCAACCACATGGTGGCTCACAACCACCTGTAATGAGAACTGGTGCCCTCTTCTGTATACATAATAAATAAATAAATCTTTAAAAAAAAAAAAAAAAAAAAAATTCTCACAAAACCAAATGCCTCAATGTCAGGTAGCTGACATGTGCTTGCAAGGCATTGCTCTAAGAAAGAGCACAGGGAACACAATGCTTTAATTGATGTCCCCCTTTGAATTACACCTTCATGATAGCTATGCTGCAGAACAGCCAGTCTGTTTAATTTCATACCATTTAGATATTGAAAAAGGTATACATGATGAATATGTGGTAATTATATCACAAAAACCTTCTAATAAGCATGTAGTTCAGAGTGAGCTAGTGTTACTCTTATACTTCTAAGTTTAGGGACATAGACTTCTAAGTTCTATGACAGCCAAGAAAGTTGTAAAAAAACCTTAATTGCTATACCACATATCTATGAAGAACAGAAAGTCAACCTGTGTGAATGCAGTGGAGACATTTTTTCTTGTTAGTTTATCAGTGTATCATATGTCACTCTGGATACAAACCATGTGAGCATAGAGATATGGAAAAAAGCAACGTAACTCTCTCACATAGGAAAATTAGAAGACATGTAGTATTCCCCAATTTGAGTAGAATTTTTGAATGCGATACAAGATTTAAATTAATTGGTTTTCGTTCTTCATTGGGAATACATCAACAAACTCATGCTGCAGAAAACCCCTTTGAGTATTGTTATGTATAAATATGGTTGTCCTAGTTCACTTTGCAAATAGAGTCACACAATGGAAAATATATGATTGTAATAAGTATGTCAAAGCTCTGAGTTCTTCCAGTTCTCTTCAAATATGTGAAGAATCTCATAGAAAATAAATGTTACAAATGTCCCTGTAATAAAGGCTCTTACCATTACAAATACATTCAAACACCAAACATCCCTAAATGAAGGGGAACACTATGAGTATAAACTTTATGATCTTATTTGTCTTAAAAATTAGACTAAATTATAAAATGAATTTATAAAGAGAAAATATTCATCAGTGTAATAAATCTGAGAAAGCTTTTACATGTGCCAATTATCATTACAGGTACAAAAAATGTCATAGAGGAGAGAAACCCTCCAAATATTCTCATTGTGCAAAACCATCTTCATATCACAGTCATCTTCAGAAGAATGAAAGTATTCATAATGGAGAGAAACCCTATATTTGTATTCAGTATGGTGAAGGCTTTGCACACAACACTAGTCTCAGAATATGTAAAGGAAAACATATTGGAAAGAAAACCAATGAAAGTAATCAGTGCAATAATGCCTTCACCAGTGATGGTCATCTTCGAATACATAAAAGAACACATACTGGAGAGAAACCATATAAATGTAATCAATGTGGTGAAGTGAGTACATGTCTCATTAGTCTTCAAAGACATGAAGGAACACATAATGGAGAGAAACCCTATGAATGTAATAGATGTTATAAAGCCTTTGAATATGCCAATAATCTGCAAGTACAAGAGAGAACACATAACAGAGAGAAGCCCTACAAGTGTGATCAATGTGATAAAGACTTTTCAATACAGATTACACTTCAAATACATAAAAGAATACATGCTGGGGAGAAACCCTACAAATGTAATCAATGTGGTAAAGCCTTTTTACTAGGTACTTTTCTCCAAAGGCATGAAAGAACACATACTGTAGAGAAACCCTACAAATGTAATCAATGTGATAAAGCATTTTCACGTGTCTGCCATCTCCAAAGACATAAAAGAACACATACTGGAGAGAAACCCTATAAATGTAATCAATGTGGTAAAGGTTTTTTACAAAACTTTAATCTCCAAGTACATAAAAGAACACATTCTGGAGAAAAACCCTACAAATGTAATCAATGTGATAAAGCGTTTTCACGAGTCAGTCATCTCCAAATACATAAAAGAACACATACTGGAGAGAAACCCTACAAATGCAATCAATGTGATAAAGCGTTTTCACGAGTCAGTGTTCTCCAAAAACATAAAAGAACACATACTAGAGAGAAACCCTACAAATGCAATCAATGTGATAAAGCCTTTTTACAACACAATAGTCTCCAAATACATGAAAGAACACATTCTAGAGAGAAA